CTTAACCCAGGTCACACTACTATCCTCTCCCAGCCAGGTTTCCATAAAACAAGCCAGGTCGACATTCTCCTCCTCCAACAAATCGTAGATTATATGAGATTTGTTCCTCACCGACCTGGCATTGCAAAGGAGCAAGATGAGGGTCTGTGGTGTAGTTGGGATGACCAGTGGTTCTTTTGGGCTAACAGGGTGAGTGGAAGACGGGATAGATTTCAAGTATCTATCTCGTCTTCCCTTATGTTTCATCCCCACCCTGTTAACACTATATCTCTCCTTGCCCCACACTACTCCAATTGGCTCACCACAGCCAGCATCTACAGTCCTGTGGTTTTCTCCATTCACATCATTAATTTCCTTCATAGGAACATAGACAAATCACACCAACTGTGATGCATACATGTAGGTTGAGTCTCCCTTATCCAGAATTCCAAAATCCAAAATACTCCAAAATCCAAAATTGTTCACATGGGTGGTTGAGACACCTTTGCTTTCTGATGGTTCCATCTACACAAACTTTGTTTCATGCTCAAAATGATTTAAAATAATTGTGTATAAAATTCCTTGCAGGCTATGCATATAAGGTGTAACTGAAACATAAATGAATTTTGGATTTAGACTTGGGTCCCATCTCCAAGAAAGCTCATTATGTCCATATAGGCAAATACAAGTATTCCAAAATCCAAAGAATCCAAAATCCCAAACACTTCTGGTACCAAGCATTTCAGATAATGGAGACTCAACCTGTATATTTATTAATCTTTTATTGAAACTGTGTTTTTAATATCTTTTAAGTGTAGGGTTTTAGCTGGTTTTAATCATACTTTTAATAATGTTGATGTTTAATTCCCTTTTAACTTTTGTAAATTAATATTTCTGTTGGACATTTTTAAATGATTGTAAGCCGCCTTGGATCCCATTTTGGGAGAAATGCAGCATAAAAGTGCAATATACAAACAAACAAATAAATAGCATTTTAAGAAGACCAAAGCAGTGACAAAAGGAGATATTGGCAGTTATTGGCTCCCATGCCTGTGGGGTGATGAATCTGTTCTGAGTTTTAAACCAAATTTTAAAGGATCTATCTAATAAGGTGGTTATTCTATTTTGGGGACAAGATTCAGGTTCCCGTGTAATTCTTTTAAAGTTCAAATTGGCTGCATCTGGTTGACACCAGTTTAACTGTCATGAATCAATGCTCTGGGATTCTGGAATTTGTAGTTTGGTGAGCTATTTAGCCTTCTCTGTCAGAGAGCTTTGGTGCCCTGCCAAACTACAAGTCCTAAAATTCCAGAGCACTGAGCCATGGCAGTTAAAGTGGTGTCAAACTGGATTATTTCTGTAGTGTGGATGCAGCCATTAAAGACTACAGCAGGTTCTCCATCCTATTGATATAAAGCCACCAGCCCCCACATCTTAGCAAGGAGAGGAACGAGAGAATCAAGACTTTGTCCTTGGCAAATAAAGAGGACTGGAAAAAGGTGACGCTTCTAGAAGTATTGTTGTTTTGTGCCTTCAAGACAAGTCTGACTTATGGCAACCCAATGATAGGTTTTTCTTTGCAAGATGTGTTCAGCAGAGGTTTCCCATTTGCCTTCCTCTCAAACTGAAAGCATATAATTTGCCCATGGTCTATTAAAGAGTGCTATTAATGCTTTTTAAAATTTCAGAGTATTTTATATTTGGACTTGAGATAATGCAGAACCAGCCATAAGTACTTAATATATAATGATAGGAAATCTGGCTTGTTGAAGAAGTGTAACAATGATATACAATGAAAGTACTGATAGGAGGTATAATTTGATAGATAGCAGACTTTGCATATGGGCAGAGTTTTAAATGCAAAGACACAAATGAAAGCCAGCTTCATTTAATTAGCACAGTTCTCAGACAGCAGGAAGTAATCAATGAATTTAATTGTGCATTTGTAGATTGTGAATCTAATTTGTAAAATTTAGTAACGAAACTAATAAAAATAAAATAAAACTTGCCCATGGTCACCCAATCGGCTTCCATGGCTGAGTGGGGATTCGAACCCTGGTCTTCAGGGGTCCTAGCCCTACACTCAAACCACTACACTATGAGCAGAACTCTGGTGCCACAACAAACTACGAATCCCAGAATTCCAGGGCATTGAGCCATGAGGCCTCATTCCCACTGTGATTTAAAGCGAATTGCAGATTGGGTTATATGACCGTTGTTGCCACTTGAAACCGGCAAACCCAAAAAACCTGCTGTTTCCTGACACTAATTCTTTGGTGGTTCTTTTAAAAAGAATCGATTCCGAAGCGTGTTCAACAAGTGGGAACGACAGATCTGAATTGGATCATACTAGAGAGGAGAGACTAAGGGCCAAAGGGTGATTGATCTCAAAGGGGCGGGATATT